CCAGCCCATTCACCACTCCTACTGATCGGCGTAATCCCAAGACAAGTCCACGCGTCTGGCAATGCCAGTCCAGCTGCCACTATCCCCAAGCGGGAATCTGCTCCTGTGATCATCTTCAACTTCATCGATCGACTCACTGCCATCAATACATATATGACATGGTTGCAATCTTGCTTGATGCGCCTCTCCTGGTTTACACATGTACTCATACTATCAATCGATGGCTGATCTGGATTGGGAAGCACGGGCCCTAAAATAGCAACGGGTCAATTTCCCCTGCAGCTCCACCACCACCCAGTACTGGGGCTGAATGTCTAGATGATATCTTCCTGGACTGTCACAGAATCGATAGTGATTGCCTCAACATGCAGTCTCCCTGTGCAATGTTCCCAATTGACTCTTCAACAATGAGTAATTGACACTGCCATCATGGGATGTATTGACCTGTGTGACCTGTTTGAGGGGCAGCAGCCTTGCCAAGTATCACGTGAAGTCCCGTTCCCGCAGAGCCTGAGTGTAGAGTCAACCATACCACTTTGGGACTAGTCGTACTCAGGCACCGTGCAAGGCACGTGCCAGCAGGGCGGTATCACTTTCAGTAGGCGGTAACTACTGACAGTTGCGGCCCGGTCGCCGATAACTTTTTTTTTTCTTTGCGCCGAACCCGCCCGTTGCCATTGATTGCTGTTACAGCAAGAGAGTGTGATCTCAAATCCTCCCAACATCTGACCACCTGTCTCCTCTCCCTTATCGAGGACCTGGTCTGTGTCTTGCTCAGTCAGCAGTTGCGCGCTGTTCCGTTCGGTTCTCACAGACACACACAACTTCCGGCGCAGTCTGTGGTTTCCGCCGCTGTCTTGACGAATTTTCCTCGGCCGGGTGGAAAGCATTCGACTCGGAACTCAATTGAACCTACCGCGATAAGGGTCAAAACGGTCCTCAAAGAGACCGCAGCACCACAATGCCTCGCAAGGCTATCGACTCGCGCATTCCGGCGCTTATTCGGAATGGCGTGCAAGAGAAGAAGAGAAGTTTCTTCGTCGTGGTCGGCGACCGCGCCAAGGACGTCATCGTTAACCTGCACTATATCATGTCTAGCGTCGATGTCAAGCAGAACAAATCCGTTCTGTGGGCTTACAAGAAGGATCTCTTGGGCTTCACCAGTCACCGCAAGAAGCGCGAAGCTAAAATCAAGAAGGAAGTGAAGCGTGGTATCAGAGAGCCAAATCAGGAGGACCCGTTCGAGCTGTTCATCACTCTGAACCAGATCCGTTATGTCTACTACAAGGAAACCGAGAAGATTCTCGGTAACACCTACGGCATGTGCATTCTCCAAGACTTCGAAGCTATGACGCCCAATTTGCTCGCTCGTACGGTCGAAACGGTGGAGGGAGGTGGTATCGTTCTGCTGTTGCTGAAGGGAATGAGCAGCCTGAAGCAACTCTACACCTTGTCGATGGACATCCACTCACGGTACCGGACCGAGGCGCATGACGATGTGGTGGCTCGTTTCAACGAGCGTTTCATCCTTTCCCTGGGCAGCTGCGATTCCTGTCTCGTTCTGGACGACGAAATGAACGTTCTGCCCATCTCTGGAGGCAAGAATGTCAAGCCCCTGCCACCCCCGGAGTCGATCGACGAGAACAGCACGGGTACCAAGAAGGAGTTGAAGGAGATCAAGGAAAGCTTGGAAGAGTCTCAGTTGGTCGGACCTCTGGTCAAGTTGGCTCGCACTGTGGACCAGGCCAAGGCGCTTCTTACCTTCGTGGATGCGATCGCCGAGAAGACCCTCCGCAGCACTGTGACTTTGACTGCCGGCAGAGGTCGCGGTAAGTCTGCCGCGCTCGGTGTTGCCATTGCTGCCGCCGTGGCCCACGGATACAGTAACATCTTCATCACATCGCCTAGCCCAGAAAACTTGAAGACGCTTTTCGAGTTCGTGTTCAAGGGATTCGATGCGCTCGGCTACATGGACCATGTCGATTACACCATCCTGCAGTCGACGAATCCCGATTTCAACAAGGCTATTGTCCGAGTCAACATCCACCGTCAGCACCGCCAGACTATCCAGTACATCCAGCCCCAGGATGCTCATGTTTTGGGCCAAGCCGAACTGCTGGTGATTGATGAAGCCGCTGCCATTCCCCTGCCTTTGGTCCGCAAGCTGATGGGCCCTTATCTGGTTTTCATGGCTTCCACAATCAACGGTTATGAAGGAACTGGTCGGTCTCTTTCCTTGAAGCTGATTCAGCAGCTTCGTGAGCAGTCAAGAGGAGGACTAAAGGCCAATGGCGAGGAGGACATCGACGTCGCTGATCGGGCGACCGGCAAAGCGGCCAAGAACGCCGACAAGGGCTTGGGTGGTCGTTCGCTCCGGGAGATCACCCTGTCTGAACCCATTCGTTATGCTCCTGGCGACTCGGTGGAGAAGTGGCTCAACAAGGTCTTGTGTCTTGACGCAACCTTGCCCAAGTCCCGGATGAACACCCAGGGCTGCCCCCACCCATCGCAGTGCCAACTGCTCCAAGTCAACCGTGATACCCTGTTCTCCTTCCACCCTGTTTCCGAGAAGTTCCTGCAGCAGATGATGGCCCTTTACGTGGCCAGCCACTACAAGAATACCCCTAATGATCTCCAGCTCATGAGTGACGCCCCCGCACACCAGCTATTTGTCCTTGTCCCGCCCATCGATGAGGAGGCCACCAAGCTTCCCGAGCCCCTTGTTGTGATCCAGGTTGCGCTGGAAGGTCGGATCAGCAGACAGAGCGTGCTCAACAGCTTGAGCCGCGGCCAGCGCGCCGGAGGAGACCTGATCCCTTGGCTGGTCAGTCAACAATACCAGGATGAAGACTTCGCCGGTCTCTCCGGTGCCCGAGTGGTCCGCATCGCCACCAACCCCGAATACCTCAACATGGGTTACGGCTCCCGCGCGTTGGAGCTGCTCACCGATTTCTACGAGGGCAAGTTCACCAGTCTGTCGGAGGATGCCGTTGACGCACCGGAGGAGATGGTTCGTGTGACGGACGAGGAACTGGCCAACGCCACCCTCCTGGACGACAACATCCAGGTGCGGGACATTCACAAGATGCCACCCCTGTTCGGCAAGCTTTCCGAGCGCCGCCCGGACGCGCTGGACTACCTCGGCGTCAGCTTCGGCCTGACGCCCTCGCTACACAAATTCTGGAAGCGGTCCTCCTTCTCCCCGGTCTATCTCCGGCAGACCCCCAACGACCTGACCGGCGAGCACTCGTGTGTGATGCTGCGCACGCTGGCCACGGGCCCCAACGACGCCAGCTGGCTGGGCGCTTTCTCGCGGGATTTCCACAAGCGGTTCAACTCGCTCCTGTCGTACCAGTTCCGCGAATTCCCCTCGGTGCTGTCGCTCAGCATCTGCGAGTCCGCCAACGCGGGCGCCAAACTCGACACCTCCTTCTCCCCCGTGGCCCTGACCAAGTCCGACCTGGACCGCGCCTTCTCCCCCTTCGACCTCAAGCGTCTCGACAGCTACGCCAACAACCTCCTCGACTACCACGTCATCCTGGACATGGTCCCCACGATCGCCGAGTACTACTTCTCCGGCCGCCTCAGCGGCAAGGTCAGCCTCTCAGGCGTCCAGCAGTCGATCCTCCTGGCCATCGGCCTGCAGCGCAAGAACCTCGAGGCCCTGGAGAAGGAGATCAGCCTCCCCTCCTCCCAGCTGCTGGCCATGTTCCTCAAGATCATCCGCAAGATGTCCACGCACTTCCGCTCCGTCATCGAGGGCGCCGTCGCCGAGACCATGCCCGCCCAGCAGCAGGCCGCCATCGCCGCGCAGGAGGTCACCGAGGCCCACGACGAGGTGATGGAGGACCGCTTCAAGCCCCTGGAGACCGCCCTCGACGACGAGCTCCGCGAGGGTGGCCAGCAGATCGACGAGGAGCTGCGCGAGAAGCAGCGAGCTCTGATCGATGCCCCTCCATTAGCCCACGCCCATGTTCCGTTCTCCCCCTCCCCACCCTTTCCTCCCCATCAACACCCACAACCTCGGAATGAACAATAACTGATCTCACAGCCTCCAGATACGAGATCAACAACGGTAGCACCGCCTGGGACGAGGCCGAGAAGCAGATCCGCACCGGCGGCGCCTCCACCGTCAGCGTCAAGTCCGCCAAGCAGACCAAGCGCAAGAAGGGCGAATCCGCCCGCGAGATCTACGACCAGGAGATCGACTCCAAGCGACAGAAGATCATCAAGAAGGGGACGGAGGGACGCAAGAAGAAGCACTAAAGCAGCGTCGAGTATTTTTTTTATAATGAAAAAGCGCGTGGGTGGGAAAGAAAAAAGCCTTGGGCCATATTTTACGCATATCTCATATCCTATATCATCATCTTCTTATTATGTTCTTTGCTTGGGTCTGCGGGATAGCTGTATTTTTTCCCCGTCTCTCTGGTGTAGCTTTTCGCTTCCCAAGCCGCGGCTGTGCTGTGCTGTTCAAGACATGGGTTTTTTATGTGTTTTGTTTGGTTCGGTTTGCATCTTTGCTAACATAGAGAGGCTCTTTGTACATACGACGCAGGAAGACTCGAATATATCCTAGTACTGAATCGCGTTGCTTCCTATTCAGGAAGGTGGACATGTATCCGACCCGAGTCCCGTCTCGGAAACGAAAGTAGGGGTAAATATTGCCGGATGCGCACATATATACAGGAAATGAAAAACACGTCCCCTAATCTGTAGCCTCCCTTCAAACCACCCGTCCGAAAGACTTGAGTTGGTCCAGCCAAAAAGAAAACGAACGAGCGTCGTGATGTCTCCATCAGTGAAAAATAAAAAAGAAGCATCTTCCCCCCTCCCATGGAAAACGGCTTCGCCTATCTCGTTTACCATATTGATCAAAACGAATGGAACCCCACCCCTGCAACTGCCCCAGCACCCTCGAAACAGGCCCTCCGCTTTCCGATAAATAGCGAGCGTGAAACTGCGTGGTTGAGTTGGTTTACCGTGGGCGCCTCACGTCCCAGCAGAACGAATGTGGAGTGTCGAAATCAAGTCAAGCGAGTGTCCTCTTTCTTCTGTGAAGTCTAACACACACACACACACACACACAACAAACCATCAAGTGACCAGCCAAATTGACCCTCGCCCATCAGCTCGATCACCCGCGGAACGCATATTCATATCCTCCAGATTCCCTGCGTCCGCGTCTCATGAACGCCGGCCCGCGCGTGTGCTGCGACAGGCCTGGCCATCGGCCCGGCGCCGTAGCATTCAGGACCCCATTGATGCTGGCATCCTGGTAGACCTTCAACGAGTTGATGGTCCAGTATGCGTCCTCGAAGGCCGACGGGTTGTTCGCCACGTAGTCGGTGCAGGAGCTGGCGTAGGAGGCGCACGAGCCTGAGCTCCACACATTGCCGGCCCAGTCGCCACAGAAGGTGGTGTCGAAGACCTGTGTGTCAGAATTTTAGCAAAAGAAAAGTCTTGGGACTTTCGGGCAAAGCCGAACGCGGGCCAAGATGTTTAGGGGACGTACAATCTGCATGGCGTCGAAATGCGAGTCGATATCACAAGAGCCCGCGAAGCTGGCGGCCGGGGTTCCCCAGGTGGCCGGGGTGGGGACGCCAGCGGTGACATCGGCAGGGATGCTGCCGCGGGGGAAAAACCAGATGTTGATAGCGGAGCTTGTCCACTCCGTGGCATAGACACCACCACCGAGCGAGTTGAAGGAGGTTCCGTAGGACTGGGAGCTTGGGGAGGTGATGCTACAGCCCGCATTGCTGGATTGGCCCGCCGCATCAACGTAGCAGTTGCTGGTTGTCAGCGTGCCAGTGAAGCCGGAGTTGTCGATGCTGCAGCCGTCGCTGGTATGGAGGGTCATCAAGTCGTTGGTCTGCTGATTGACGCCTTCGATGATGTCGATCTCGCCATTGTTAGGCCAGTTGGAGCCGAGAAGCCAGCTGTTTCCCTCATTGTTAGGTCTGGATAATAACTGGAACTAGATCGCTAAGGGTAGCTCACAATGCTGGCCAGGTGCCGCAAATTCCACCGGGCATGTGCGCCAGATCCAAAATAAACAGCCCGTGGGTATACTCGCTGTCGCTCGTGATGCGCACGCTCTCTCGGCCGCTGCTGGCCACGTTGGTATAGTCCACACCCATGTAGACTGATCCGTCTGCGTTAGTTGAGATCAAGCCATCAGTCTGGGCGGTGGATTGGTCGACATAGCTGACGAAGCCATGAGTAGGATCTGTTTCAGTGAAGAACGTAAAGCGGTCAAAGAATGCCGAGCTGGTATAGTCATCCAGCAAGGTATAGGTTGCAGTACTGAGCTGCGCCGTAAGGCCAAAAGCCGTCAAGAGGAAAGTATAGGCACGCATGGCGCTTGTAGAATGAAGTAGAGCGCAATGTATGGCAAGGGAGTGTTGTTAATGAATCGCTAGGGAGTGGACAGGTAGCGGAACTACCTAAAAAGTAGAATGAATGAAGACTAACAGCCCAGCTGTAGAGACAATAAGGTGTAGACCGAAGGAGTGTCGCAGAATTGTGATGATCTTGTAAACATATTGCCCGCGACGGAATGGAAGAAGCGATATATATAGGGCAGTGCTCCTTTTTTTTTTTGTTTTCCCGAGTAAACAGGCAATATGAAAGGACAAGCTCATGCACTAGTAACTTGTGGCGTCAACCATGATTCACGCAGCAGACCAGCCCTTGAGACCTGTCGCATGGCGTGAGTGGCAGTCTGCGGCAGATGGCAGGCCCATGTGCGCGTGGTTATGTCACGGATTGATAGGGGAAGGTGTATGATTGAGGGAAAATTGATGTATGTCGACCAGTGATGAGACAGAACCACGATTAGGCTCGGTTTCGTCAGGGAATCCGATGTAGCTACCTCGGGTTAAGGGGGGGGTCTACAGCCCAATGATCAAGGATGCATGGAGTGGGCGTCAAATAGCGGCGGGTGAGGAATGCAAGCATGTCAATGCACTGAGCGAATCGGAGGCGTTTTTCGGCCTGTTGCGAAGCACAGCGAAAGCACACGCGCAAACCTTGGCCAGTAGCCAAGCCCTTCTCGATCGGCGCTTCCCCGCTTGTCTCCAGAGGAACGGCAGGAATGAAAGGAAAAAGAGACTCACTCTGAATCATGAGGCGTCTTTTGCCCGATGTCCTCCGCATCGGGCGTTTTTATGCTCGGTCATCCATCATTCATCACCAACATGCATCAAAGAGAATCTGGCAGTGATCAGCAATAGAGACAGAATCAAGTAAGGTCAATAAGTCATTATCATGTTGAAATCGCTCATCCACTATGTATGTACAGGGCACACCGGGCAAGACAACACCTCCAAGTCCGATCCGCCATGGAACTTCTGATGGGGATGACTCTGATTCTGCGCGGCATCAGAACTATCAACTTCCAGAATACAACGACGGTGATACAGGTGTCGACAAGCGAAAACCAAGACTGGCCCAGCGGGCTGCTCGGAGTCCTCCGCAGTCGCATTCGCATCCGCGTCCGCGTCCGCATGGCCTTCCAGCAGGTGTAACGGCTGACCCACGTCGGCCGCTTTACCTTTCCCCCGCGCGGTCGCAGGATCATTTTGCTCGTGGAGCCGTTTTGCAAGACGGGTTTGCTGCGTCTTAGCTTGTTTCTGCTCCCAGGCCTGCCAGTACTGGGGTCCGACTCCCGGTCCCCAGATGCGCTGTCGGCAGATCTCACATACCTGGCCTCGTGGTCGCCATCCCCGCTGGCGCAGTCGTGTTACCTCATCCACGTGCACGAATAAGTCCCGATCCAGCATGCCATTGGCAAGAGCCAGGAGTGATTTTTCGTAAGTATAGGCTGAAAAGATCGAGGCCAGTACTGCGCGCAGCTCGAGCAGGGACGGCGACCAGCTTGCAGCCCGCATGAGGAAGGCACGCAGGATTCGAAGGAAAGCGACATCACTGCGCTCGCTGGTTGACGACCCTCCACTCCGCACCGTGCTGGCAAGCAGGGTGGTGAAAACCTGCTGGACCAACGAGCGAACAGCCGGCATCAGAGGAGTGGAGGTTGCCGTCACTGAAGCATCGCCAGGTTCGGAGGGCTTCTTGGGCATTAAGCCAAAAACACCACTGGCAATGCGCACCACGGCTTCTATCAAATCGAGCCACAAGGATTCATCGAAAGAAAGGGGCTGGTCGACTGCTCCTTTGCTGAAGCCATTCTTCTCGACTGCCCGAGGATTCTTGGCTGTGTTCGTTTGGCCCCGACAGAGCCAAGTACCGACTCGTGTGTATTTCTCTAATGATTCTACAAGGTGGTTAATGGCGTCGGTAGTACTTGCAGAGTCCGGATCGTCGTTGATGCTCTGGAGAAAGCCCACCAGGCCGGAGTCAAGTGTCCCCAAATGCGCGATGAGGCGGTCCATAGCCGCTCGAACCTGGCCTTGACGAGCCAACAAGATCACCGCGGCGTCCACCACGCCACTCTCCTCTAATGAAGGCAGCAGCTCCTCTAGGCGTACATCACCGATGCGTAAATCATCCACAAAGTTGGCGACTTGAGAGGGATTATACCTGCAGAGAAGTTGCACGTAACGCTCGATCATCCAGTTCTCGATGGGCTTGGAGGGTCTACTCTCCGTCACGGACTGCAGAGCCATTCCCACCACAACGGCCAGGTATTGGTATTGCCGATAGGAATCTTGCTGCAGGGCATTTAAAAAGGTTTCGTGTGTCTCCGGAGCAAATGTATGCATGGTCTGCGCTGCTCGTTCGACATTAATCGCTGCAAGCTGACCGGCATGAGCTTTGACCACATCAAGAAGATCCCGCTGTTGCTTCTTGCCTAAACTGGAGCCAGGGCGAAGGCAATCTTGTAGGCAGGTAAAGACGGCTTCTTGCTCATTGAGATCTTCAAGGTAGGTCAGAATGAGTTCAGGGTATTGTTTCTCCACGCGATAAGTTGATTTCAAAATCCGGAGGAACCGAGCCTCCTTGAACAGCGGTATCATCCCTTGTACATCTGGAGGGTGATAGATGGACAACAGATACTCAGCGCTTAGCTCACAGTCATCCGCCATTGCGGGGTCTGGGTAGTGGCAAAGTCGCTCCAGAACTTGTTGAAGCGTGCTGCCCGAGAGAAGAATGTATTGAGGGTATTTCGGAAGGTTGCGAGCAACAAACATGTCTAACCGAATGGTATCTAAAGCATCAAAGGAGTCCGAAGTCATTATCTGTAGCAATACACTGATCAGATACTGCCGGTTGACAGACACCCCGTGTGATGGGGCTTCATCTGGTTCCTGATCATTCAAAAAACTATCTTCAAAAGCTTCATTTAGCATGCTCATGAAGCTAGCTGTGTCGAACCTCAGCATGATCCGCAAGTCCGGGAACGTCTCAAGGGCTTCCCCTTGCCCTGTGACTGGCGGGTTACCGGAGAACAAATGATCGTATAGGGTTGCTTTGGCTCGGTTGGCCTCCGTCTCGTCCATATCATCGCCAGTGGGATATACCCGGCCTGTGAGAACAAAGGAAAGGTAGGGAAACACTTTCAGCGCGTTCGTATATTGCGCAATCCCGTTAGTAGAGTCTCCATTAGTCAGAGCTCCCTGGGTTGGTATGAGCCCAAGGAGCTCCTGCAAAGGGCCCACGTAATCCCCGAGACAGCGATTCCAGACATAGATGAAGGCGTCGTAAAGGTTATAATGCTTGCAGAGCGTGGTGGTTTGGTCAATGTCCATCGTGGCTGTATCCAGCAGGCAGATAATTGCTTCCAATCTGCTGGCGGTGTGGTTCGTCGCGTAATGGTTGATTAAAGCCTTGACCGCAGTGGGAGGGAGTGAGCGGACGGTGCCCTCAACGATGTATGATTCAAGTGCATCAAGAAATATGCCTTGAGAGTCACTCTCTTCAAACCAGGTGAACACCTCATCCCACAGATAATCTAGTTCGGACATGCAAACGCAGGCAGATATTGACACCTCGGCCAGCTTCTGGAGCTGTATGGTATCGAGCCTTTCATTATTCGCTTCTGCGTTGCGGCCAAATGCGTATTTGAGCGACGCTGAAATCATTTCCAGGAGCTTTTCTCGTACTAGAGGCTGCCTCAGGGCGTCCTCCTCAGGAAGACCAATTGTAAGCTTCTCGGCGCTGCCTCGATAGTAGGATGTCGCCACTTGAATTGCCCCAATAAAATCACCAGCCTCCATGAGGGCAAGTAGCCTATCAGCCCAATTTGAAAGACCCCCAATAAGAAGTTCATTATAGCCCAGAAGGAACAAGCGGCCTTTGTAAGAGCGAAAGCTCATAAAGAACGCATCCGCTACTACACCATGCATCGTTGTGTCCTCCTCATTGAACTGTTCAACCAGACTATGGAGCTGGGCAGAGAATAAGTCCACATGATAGATGTGTCGATTGAGCAAATCAACCGCTTCTGTGACACGCATGGTGTGATCCTCAAGGATAAGCAGCTGTTGAGTTATGGTGAGCACGGCCATCACGGAGCGACTCAACCATTGAACAGCTACAATCGCCTCATCGGCCTTCCATCTGCTTCGTGGTCTGAACTCCAGGGCCGGAGGTCGGTCCCTGTTTGGAGATTCATCCGCTTCAACCTCGGAAACATCCAGCACTGTCAGTACATTAGACCAACAATAGACAAGCTTTGTCCGCGAGATTTCAGTTTCCTTCCCTTTCAGGCGAATTGCCGGGAACCAGGCTAGCGCTCCAGTCATCGCGCCATGAGCGGCAACCTCCTTGGGACGAGGCGCCTTGTGTTGGGTTTGCGCAACGGGCGTCGTGGACACTATCACCAGGAGATAAGGGGTAAGCATAGCAACCAGTCCCAGCGAGTCCGTCGGCTGCTCAACGTTGCCTAGGGGAAGAGGTGAAAAAGCCAGGACTGAGCTGGGCTTTCGTGGCCGAAATCCTTCCGCATAAACCTGAGGGTAGCGGCCCAAAATCCTACTCGTTTTCACCGTCCGTCCGACTGCACCCATACCACGCGTGGCCAGATGCGAAAAGGCCATCCCTCGTTTATCTGCAGAGACCAGTGCGGTACGTCGAGTCCCCAGAAACCCCACATGGATGACAGGTGATCCGGCGATATGACCATCTGAGGGTCGGTTTTCTATCAGATTGGCCGGTATCGGGGGTATGTGAAGGAAGGGCCGTGCAGACCGCGAGATTTCCCAGGTGAAGATGTCACCCGATTGATGACCTCCGGCAACTGTGGTGTGGTCCGCGGACAGCGCCAAGGATGAAATCGCGCCGCATTCGATAGCTAGACACCCACGCTTAGTACGTGAACAGCGCCAAGCAAGGCTATGTTGAAGCTTACCTTTCGTCCCCAGGCCGATGATGGTCTTGAGGTTCTGCTGGTAGTCAAAGACGAGGATTATACCCTTGGAAGTTCCAACCACGATTGACGTTGAGACCACCATGCAAGTTGGATGTCCGAAATTCCGCTTTCCAGCTTCCGAGAACGCCTGACCGTTGATCTTTCTGAGTTTGGTCCACCGCACGACATCCCAGGGTCCCTGGGGAGTGTCGGGGCCCGAATCGACGGTTCCGGGAGACAGGTGGCTCGTGACGGAGGATTTGCGCGAGTGCAAATGCGCTAGAAATGGCGAGGCCGATCGGAAGTTTCCAATTGAGTTAGAAGATAATCTGGATTGAAACCGAAGGTCGAACGGGCGATGGGAAGGACTGGGACTGAGTCGAGGGGAGCCACGAAAGGCCAACGCGCTGCTGCTTCGCGACGATAGGATGGAGTCCTGTGGCAATCAATCAGCGGAGAACCACGGCCGCGAAACGGCAGCGGCGACGCACATGAAGGGAAGGAGTGTCGTCGGGGATCGAGAGAGTCTCGTCAACACTACCGGGAGCGCCGGGCTGCCCGGAACGCGGTGAAGAGGGAAGGTCGGTCGCATCGGGGTCAACAGCAGGAATTCGTTTGACGGCGGGGGCATGGTTCTCGCTGGTTAGATCGGGCAGATCTTCCTCGGCGTAAGCAATTGAGTCCGACGCCGACTCTGGATGGGGATAAACATGGTCGGGGATGCCGTTGCGGGTCGGCGGGGAGAGTGCATCGTCGTCTGGTCCCAAGTCGAGCTCATCCTCTCGTGCCCAGTCATTACTGGTCTCGATCATGGAGCTCATCGGCAGCAGGATCGAATGACCATCTCTCCCAGCTTGTTTTTGTGCAAGACCCAGATATTAGTGGGAGGTGGAAGATGTCGTGATGAGGGGGGCTGGTGAAGGTATGACAGGGGACCGAAAGGAGGAGGTGGTGGTGGAGGAAGAGGAGGAAGTGTGGTGAGAGAGTACGGTTAAGGTAGACAAGGTGGGAAGATGGAAGGTGCCGCAGGCAGGCAGGCAGGCAGTGGTTCACCAGCACTAAACTAGAGCGGGTGCTGGGGGCGCTAGTTTTCTGGCAGTGTACGGAGTACTGTGTATGTACTGTGTATGTACTGTACCCGTTACCTTAGCTGGGAATAAATACTAGGTAGTCATGAGGAAGGTGAGGAATCAACAAGGATCAGATCGATTGCTTGCTGTTGAGGTTAAGATCAAGAAGCGAAACAGCCTGGAGCATAAGGTACTGTACGGAGTACGGTGGGCTAGACGAGGTCTCGATGCGGTCGGTAACTTAAGCAGAGACTCTCCGACGGAGGTCAGCACCGCCCACCTGCATCCACTTCCACTTGCTGCCTTGCTGCCTTTATCCTTTATCCTTTATCCGGGTTGCTTTAGGCAGGGATATTCTGGCGTGGAGATCAGAAATATTGACATTAATAACTACTCTGTGTCGACTTTAACTTTAACTATAGTATTGCTAGCCATACACGGGAGGGCAAGATAGTTAGTACTCCATTGTTTGGATAAGCACATGACATGGAACTCCATTGTTGTTCATTCTTTGACTGGGCTAACCCTAGTTGTGGCTAACAGTACATCAGGAAGTACTTGTCTCGCCTGGCATGATACCAGATGGCTCGACAGGATCATGAGGGTACTATATCCCAGAACAATTAAGCAATGAATGAATGGTTCAACGTTGCGAGAACTCGCACGTGCGCCGCCGACTCTATACAACTAGCTCCAATTTCCCCTCTCGACAAGGGGGGTTGTCTATTGATCCACCCATTCCGCGCACTCCTTCCTGTACTCCTCATCACAATCACATTCTTGCTGAAGAGTCTAATCTATGTCGTCTAGGTAGCTCACGGTCCAGCGTCACAAGCGTCGGGGTTGCCCTTACCCTTCAACTACCGCATCCCATGATTTGGTCATCCAGCACGATAATGTGTAACTCAGGGAGAATATATAAAACCCCGAAAATCCCAATAACTTCCGCAGCTCTACTCTTCTTGATAGAAGTAGCTCGTTCTGGTTCAAAATGTTCTTCTCACCTGTTGTTCTCGGCTTAGCCGCGACTACATCTCTCGTGCTTCCCGTCCTGGCCCAGTCAACCTGCAACGGTCAGTCGGCCTACTGCGACCGGATCTACTCGAATGTAACGCAGGTTGGCGCCCATGACAGTCCTTTTGTAGGGCCCCTTCTTCAGCAGAACCAAAACATCGACGTCACCGAGCAACTGGACCTTGGGATTCGTTTTCTTCAAGGCCAGACGCACCAGTCGATTGACAATGAAACGATCCTCCTTTGCCATACATCATGTCTCCTCGAATACGCCGGGAGCCTGGAGTCGTACTTGACCACCGTCAAGACCTGGCTGGACGACAATCCAGATGAAGTCGTGACCTTGCTCTTGACAAATGGTGATAGTCTACCAGTGACTCATTTCGCCGAGGCATTCGAGAGCGCGGCCATCGCCGACTATGCATTTTTGCCGAAGTCATCGCCAAACACTCTAGCCATCAACGCCTGGCCAACTCTGCGAGAGCTGATCGGTAATGGCACGCGATTGATAACTTTTCTAGGTACGTGATCATCCTCAGCGGTCGCAACGATGACTTACAAGCTCGCTCAGATTATGGTGCCGATGCCACAGCGGTTCCTTATATCCTCGATGAATTTGCTTACTTTTTCGAAACGCCTTATGATGTGACCGATGCCTCGTTTCCCAACTGTAGCATTGATCGGCCGTCGGGGGCTTCAGCGACCGGTCGGATGTACATTGTTAATCACTTTTTGGATGTCGATATCCTGGGCATCTTGATCCCAGATCGGGAGCATGCAGCCGAGACCAACGCAGTGTCAGGCGAGGGCAGTATTGGAGCTCAAGCCGATTTATGCCTTTCCATTTATGGTCAGCTACCAAACGTTATTCTGCTGGATTTTGTCGACCAGGGTCAGCCGATTGCCGCGCAAAGTCTGCTCAATGGGGTGTGAAAACGAGGTTTTCTATGCTGACGAGCATCGCTGGTCGGTGTGTTGCTCACAATCGTATTTTCAAGGTAGTCAAGTTCTTTCTGATGAAGTAAGCTCGGTGTCTATTCAGCACTGCAGTCGTTTTGGATGGTTTGATAGAAGCAATCTTAGCGGGTCGACCATGTCCAGTGTCCGAAACTGCCGGCATTGGCCGATCGTCGAATGTGAACGACTCTTGTCGGTTTATGTTCAAGTATATACAATCTGGTTCGGTGGATTTTTTTATTCATCTATCTCCACCTGCATCTCGCGTTCTAGTTTGATTGGAGCTAAGATTAGCGTCATATCATTGTGAACCAAGGAGTTGACTTGACGTACCCCAGACCTTGTTGGCCGACCCAATGATGATTTCTGCTTTGGCTAAAAGCTTCTTCGCATAGCGCTCGGCTTCTGCAGGATGAAGCTGGCTTTTCTGGGCTTTGCGCGGGTTTACCTAATTCATTATGAGCATCTTACGGTTAGGGGGTAACAAGGATTTGGCAAACCATCATCAAAATAGGGACCAGATCCTTCGAGTCCGCTTCTGCCAGGGCCCTCAAATTCCGGTAACCATTTTCTCGGAGTAGCCTGGCAGTCCAACCCTTGACATACGTAACCTGTGCCATTTCGAGTAGGTCAGCCCGGGCCCCAGCCTCTAAGCGATCCTGCATATGATCCAAAACTGCAGCCAACATTCCCCAACCCATGCGTTGACAAAATTTGACAATGCCTGCAGCAAACCCGTGGCATTGCTGTGCCAGGCTCTGGACAGAGCCCCGTGGTATCTGGTACCGAGATGCGATAACTGACAACGGAGCCTCATTGCTCAGATCACGAAGCTGAAATGCAGTATATGCCCGCTGATAGATTCTAGCTTGCTTGATCTGCTCTGGTGAATTTTCTTTCAGCGACCCGCCGCTCTGGGCCCTGTGAGCTGTTAGCGCCATGAAGTCCGAATACCGTGAAAGTCGGGAATCCATCATACATGTAATTCACAAATCCAGGTTGGACGCCAACAAATTGTAGGGCACGCAGCCCACTTTCATCCAGATTATCAAGCTGATCTCGAAAAATGCGCCAATCGATGTGAGTCCCAGCAGCTAATTGGAGGGGCGTAAACATGTAGAATATATGCATATCGCCATCCATGACGAAAGCTTGCAGAGCCCGTTTCAATTCTTCATGGACAAATAAACCATCTTCGGGTGCAAATGCGGACGCGACCACAGCCTGTCCAAGCTGTGTCGCTGAATATGATGATCCATCATCATCAACATGCACGAGTTCTTCCTTGACCAATTCTTGGAGTGCAGATTGCATGATACTATAGGCTAGCTTTCTGTCCACTGTTCGGTAAAGCAAGGTGCACCTGACATATTCCTTGATTGCGTCATACCCGGATACGAGTCCGGTAGCGAGGGCTTCTAAGAGGGCCCTTGTACGTCGTCAGCAGCAAGCCTTGAAGGGAGCTGAAGCCACGGGCATACCTTTTGAGGCCTCTCTTCTCTGGAGCTAGGCAGCTTTCAATGGCCGGCATGTCGGCTTCGAGAAGGTCACAGACAGCTTGTAGGTCACTATTGCCACATATGAGATACGTCTCGCCCGCTTCGTCCTTTCCCTTGCGACCGGCTCTTCCGCACATTTGTCGTCTTTCTTGGTCAGCCCGCGCTACTAATGATTGGGGGAGAGTACTCACAGCATGGCGGGCCCGACGAGTTCTCGGCCCATGCGTGCCCCATTGATCAAAACACGTCTGGCGGGTAGATTGACGCCAGCGGCCAAGCTGCATGTCGCTATAAGCACTCTGAGAGCACCCTGGTCATAAGCCTGTGCAATCAGTTCGCGCTCCTCAGTCGTCATGCCTGCATCTACCCGATATTTCAGCCTTGGTTCTGAGCCCCAGTGTGAGGTATCCTTACGGTGAAATCCGACGCCTCTAACGAGGGTATTTTCAAGAGCAGGGTCTAGGCCGCTGGGAAGACTCCGGAGTTCGGCTACAAGGTCCAGTCGTTTGTTCAAGTCTTCCGTGTTCTCCCCGGGGACTGGCATAGCTTCACTGATGATCGCCGCTTGGATCTGGCAAGCCTGTCGACTGCCACAAAATACCAAAGCACCATACCCAGCTGATGCCGTGTCAATGGCCAAGGCGACTGTCGCGTTTGTCATGGCATTCGCAAGTTCTCGAAAGGTTGAGGGGGCAACGATGCGATGAGGAGGCATAGTCTCAACGAGAGATTGCGTTGGAGCCGACTTCAGTCTTGATATTGTCTGAAACAATTGCCTCGAGGTTGCGGCGGGATATATCGCATTCTCGTAAACGAGGTATTCGTCAATTGGAACCGGGCGGTAAGTTGATACGTAGTAAACTGCATTCATCCACTCCGCCAACATCTCGGTATTCTAGGCCTATGTTAGGGTGACGCTGCGCATGGCTGAACGGTACTTAGTAGCTCACCGATAGTGTAGCACTCATCCCGATGATCTGGATGTTCTGTCGCAGGAGCAGCAGTTTCGTAACCATCAATTCCAGAAGGTATCCACGGTGCTCATCGTCAAGCATATGTAGCTCATCTAGAACAACTACGCCCAGCTCCCCGATACTACATTCTTCAATGGCAGTGTTGATCAGGGAGTTCGCCTTGTAAGATGGCCTGGTTAGCATCCATAAATTATGGGAGAAGTTTTCTGGGACTAGTAGAGGATACTGGCCACACCTTCTCGATGGTACAGACGGCAATGTCCGTGTCAGCCCAAGACGCAGCAGTTCTGCTTCCCCCAAAGTAGCCTGTCACACGAATCGACTTTTGTAACTTGCGCCAGCGCTGGTGATATGGTCTCGTATTGTCCACCTTATCGTCGGCATCGCTGATGTTTTTCTCAACATCTTGCACGAGACGTCTTAGCCACTTCAGTTTCTCTTGCACCAGCGCTACATATGGAAGAACCAGAATTGCCTTGCGGCCCGGGTTGTCGACGATGCGCTTAATCATCAGAACGTCAGCGACAAGCGATTTTCCTCCACCGGTGGGGGCAGTATACACCAGGTGTCGGCTGCCATCGAGCAGTCCTGGAGTCAGCAGGCACGATGCTTGCCATTGGTATATGTTCTTAAGTCCGATAGCCGCCCAATTTGCGGCTAAAACGGACGGCAGTCCGTACACAGGGTTGCTCAGAGACAACAGAGGATGATCGGCAGAGTCTTCATCGGCACTTCGCAAAGAACGAAGCGGTGGATCTCTATGGGGGACATTGGCTGCAGCCGAGCGAATATCACTGGCAACTAAACGACCTCTAGGCAGTTCTAGCGAAGGCCTTATGAAATCTACCGGTTGACCGGCTGATTCACTGAAATTGGCAGGCTGCTTTGCACTTGAAAGCGGGTTGTTGTTGCCTGTGGAATGCTCTGCAGGTCGCTTCTGTCCAGCCACAGCAGCTACGTCGTATGTGTTCTGGCGTGCGATGTCGACGGAAGTCTGGAAGCCGTAGGTCTGGAGAGACTGTCCAGATGGCGCAGACATGCCTTGCGATGAGATGACTATTGTTTGAGATGGTTGAACGCTATAGTATGAGTTCCCATGGGTGACAGATTGGCTATATAGAATGTTTAGAATGTTTCACAGATTCCATTGACGCGGGTAGGGGTGGGGAATAGGTGTATGAGTGGTTCAAATGCCAATGATCAATCTTATTTCTGCCAAAGAACCAACAGAAGACTTGGTGGTGACAAATCAGCTCAAAGGGAGTTGGGTGAAGAAGTAAAGATCAATCACCGGCTCGGGAAGCGTAACCAAATAAATTACCAAGAACGCGCGTGAGTTGCAACGCGCTCAGATCGGAAACTGCATCCCCGACGGGGGAGACTTTGAATGGAAGCTGAGCCCGCGGCGGGGTGGGCCATATCTGCTGCTGCCTCAGGCTGGTTGGTAGCACTACCTATAGACATACTCAATACTCTGTACCTTGACTTAGACTGTACAGTATGTATTGTAACCACCAACCACCAACCACCAACTAAGTAAGCCATCCCTCCTGCACAAGCCAGACCCGACCGCCGCGGAAACGTTCCTGGATCGTCTTTACCCGCTAATCGGAGCCCTGCTGATCCGCCCATTGCTAGGCTGCTAGCACTGCTAGTCTAGCCGACAGCGGCATGCGTTTGCATCATTGTCTGGCTGTCTCTGTGTCTGTATCATAACGTTACCGAGGTTTTGTACAAGGTGAGGGTAACTAATTACTAGGTAACTTGACAGTCGCCAGGAACTCCTTGGCTCTTAGCTCCATCTTCGTCTAACACAAGATGATGCACTCCGTATTGATAGTCGAGCACAGACACCGCATAGAGGACACCATCTACCAACTAAAATCCGTCACGCATTGCCACAGAAAGATGAGCAAGGGCGACCAGGCCAGCTTGTTCATTTGAGCCAGACAATCATCATCTCGCCTCATCAATGAGTACGTATGCATACATAGACTTATGCAACCTTACCGCCTTCACTTTGACTTTCTCTTGGTCAACTTATCTGCACCTCAGCTCCCACAGATGGAAGCTGTTTTGGTTACCTGCGATCACCTGACACTTATCAGCATGGTGAGTCCGCCCGCCGGGCGGGCTCTGCCAACACTTGCCTGAGATGGTCTAGACTGAAAGGCACCTGGCACTGCTGGCAGGCTCCGACTTGGTGCACAGTTCAAAGCACCAACAGCAACAGCAATAGCAACAGTTTTACCTTCGGAACATCGATTGCGGGACAGGAGGCTTACCGAATAGTACTGACACCACCCTCCTCCGGTCCCCCTTTGCCCTTGGTGTTGTTGGTAAAGGAACTCAGTTGGGCTGTCCCTTTCCCCATGTCTCATTCCAACTTTCCCTCATGTTTGAGCTCAGGCCTGCGATGAGATAGTTATATACATTCGTGGCTACCAGTCCGCCTACTGCCACGGAGGGCGTGCCCGAGAACGGTCACATACACTGGCTCAGGCTGGTCATCACAGCGATGGACCCGGGGACGCCAGACCCGAAACAGAATCGCAGCAAAAGAGGTCTACGTTGTGAAAACAAGAAGAGAAAAATTAAATTCCAAAGAGCGATTAAAGACTCCACTTTGCTGTGGCCACTCCCGCTTGAACGAACCTGATCGAACATATTCCCCGTACTGTACACCGTACCAACCAAGCAATTCCCGAGGCATCATTTGAGTTCGGTTTCCTCAAGCTCTCATTGAGAAAGTTGGAAGAGGTTACCTACTTTGTAACTTGTGGGCGCGATGCAGCTAACATATATACTGTGATTGATGTTAGTCTGGCAGGGAGACCCTGTGGGAGGTTTAGCCGTTGATTGCGCAGTTTCATACCCGTCCTCTGCAGGCGCTAATAACTTACTGCTAAGTGTCAGTGTCTATAGCACAGTTCCTAGTGCTACAACCTGTCCGTCCCCATAGTTACCTTACCCTATGGGACGATCCAGTTCCGTCAGCATGCCGCGTTTGCGATTCCCACATTACATCGGATACACGGTTTGACACGTGAGCTAGAGCTGGCACAGTTGTCCGCCTGATGCGACTGATCTTGCTTTTCCTTTTTTCTTCTTTTCGACAGGGCGCATATTCTTGCATTTCACCATTGCTTCAGTAAATCTAATTTATCTCCCTCATGGAACAGAGGAGACGGGTAAAGAGAGCACTGTATGCATTGCAAGATGATTATCCAGTCGCAAATATCAACCTGTCTCAGTCGTCAAGGTGAATGATGCTGTGACCGGCTAAGTAAGTGACTGGAAGGTGGCGACAAAAGCCAGTGCAAACAGTGCGGCAGCAAATCATTTGGCGTAAATGAGCTGACTGAATGGATGTTCATAAACCCAGAAGTTTCCAAGGTACGTAAGTTGTCTGGGTCACTTGGATGCCTACCAGCCAAGTTGATGGCAGCCGACAGCCCATCGGGATGATGTAAGTGAACACAACTTATTACACCTAGCACAGAGAATTTGCATCTAACGAAGCTAAGGGCGTGTCCGTTTCGCTCTAGGCACTGTAGCAGAACAGCACATGTCTCTATTGTTCACAATGTTGAAGGCCAAGAAAGAATCGCCGCGTCTATGCTACTCAGACGATCCGCTGTCGCGGGGAGAGGGGATGTCCCCAGTAGAGAAAGAATCGCGCTAAGGGTTCTGGCGGCTTTGGCCATATTACTCAGTACTCAGTCCTCAGTATTCCCGCCGTCGCCGAAGGATTTCTGTGCTTAGTGTTATTATCACATCAATGCTTCTCGTCAAAGTCAACTCCGACCGCACGCGACCATCCAACCATAATCTCTCGCGTGCGTGGGAAGAAGCCAAGTCCTAGTGGGTTCTTCCGGGAGGAGGCCGTGATTTTGCATGCCGTACTGTACAATAATGAGAGAAACCCGACGATAGAGGGGTTAGTTTACGGGGTAGTTCGCATGAGGTTCACCCCATGCTGTACAGTACACTAGTCTATCACAGACACAGACAGACTGATAGTCAGTCAGTCCGTCAGACCGTCAGACCGACACGTTCGATTGATCTACTACATATACAGTGTTCCGCTACTAATCACCACTAGTCATTTAGTACTGCAGGTCAAGAGGAGCCACGGTACCGACAGCCCTCTCCCTTTTCGCTGTATTGTTCTGATCCGAGTTTTCGGTTGTCTACCTAGTCTAAAATGGCTTAGCATTGTCCCGGACGTCTCCATGCCTCCAGTTCTTTCTTTGGTCGTACGGAGCCACTCTTGCACAAAATGCCCCTCCCCTTTCTGACCGTGGACCTCCCGTGCCCCGGTAAAATCGGGAATGATGGTGGACAGACCCTAAAATTTGATAAACGAGAAGGAAAACTGGGAACCCAACGGGCAGAATATCCAAGCATGCACCCTGATGCCTCAACTCCAAGAGGAAAACACAGCTCTATATCATGCTCAGAGCCGAGGAGCCAGAAGATCGAGCTCAAAGGGGAAGGAAGGAAGATGTTAGTCGGTTGCTCTAATAATACTACCAAGTGCTGTACCTACTTATCTGGCCGGTGCTTGTTTCGAGAGGTTCCCTGTAACATCCTAAACATACTGCGGTATCGCTCTTCATGGGTCATTCCGAATATCCTCGACCTTCAAATCCCTTGTCCAGTTCCCTGGGTATAGACCATGTTGTGCCTAGGTATACCAAACATGTGGCTCTTGCAGTCATATACGATCCAACAGATGTGGTGGTCTTTTTAACGCTCCAGCCCGAACGCGGAATAGACTTGGCGCTCAGGATTTCAGATTCAACGCGCATGCGCTGCCCTACGTGACAACATTCCTGCCACAGATAAAACATAAAACATACATACATACGTACATACCCTCTTATTTTTATTTTTATTTCATTTTTCCTGTCCATCCACACTCCCTCCACCTTTTCCATCTTCTGCGGTGTACGGAGCCGAGCAAAGCCTATCCGGTCTTTGATTCTTCCTCTGCTCTTAGCATCCCTCTCTCCCTCCGTCTCAGTCGCACTTCTTCATTTAAGTTTCGTCAGATTTCCCCCCGGCCGGTCGACCCTTGTCTTAATTGTTGGGGCTTGCCTCATCATATATCGCGCTCCTCGGCCCATGGCTGAGGACCCCCCCTTCCCTGTCCCGATGTTCCATCATTCTTTCTTCGTATCGGGTCGTTCGGCCCACAGCAGCAGCATTTCCTTTTCAAAGGGCCCACGACAAGCATCCGAGAGCGATGGGACTTAGGTATTTCCGCTAAACCCAGTAGAATAACGTAGATCCCCCAACAGTCAAATGCGCCTCCTGCGAGCAAGGGGAACAATGGGTTATAAGCAACTACCTAGTCAGCAATTGCCCAGGGAGGAAGTAGAACCACGCCCCGGCCGGCCTCTGCCAGTCTGCTGTTCCCGAAGAGGATGCTCCTGACCTCTAGGCTATGACGGCGCCCGGTCACCCTGGCCGGTCATCCATTCAGAAACCGGAATTGAAGGCATATCAGAATTTGAGAATGGATGAACGGGGGAGATTGAACTTGTGAAGAGTATGGAGTGAAGAAGTAGAGAGACAGTCAAAAAGAGTCCAAGTTCTGGAGAAGACTGCCTACCTCGCTCCAAATGATCATGTTGCCGAATCTGCTAGCCAGCATCTCTGGGTCGTTTGGCTTGTCTGGGTTGGATGGAGGAGGATCCGTCATATTAACCCATCGGGACTAGGGGCGAGGATGTGGACTGGTCGGGATCCCAGCTGGTCAGTTAGTGTAGTTGTAGTAGGTAAGAAGTTGTTAGTTTAGTACTCCATTGTAGGTACTGTAGGTACTGTACGAGTAGGTTAGGACCTGGTGGAAGGGAAGAAAAGGAACTTGGGAACTTGAACTATTCTGTTAGGTAGTGAGTGAGTAAAGTGATTCTTTCGGGTCTCGTTCGTTCGCTCTCTTCTGCTACCGCTGATGTTGCTGCATACCTATTTACACTCCTTCAACCCAAGCTTCTGACTTTTCACGTTTCCTGTCTGCGGTGGTCTTGA